ATTAATAAAAACACATAATTACAAACATAGATACAACTAATAATAGCCAAGCAGTCATCCAGTTGAATCTAAGAGACTAAGGGAGGCATACACAAATGGTAGCCTAGAAATCTACACTAACGCACTTACAAACATACAAACTAAACAGTCCCATACGAGAGAATTGAAACAGTTCCATACGGGAGAATCAAGCTTCTACTAAGAAGAATAAAACAAAATGCCAACAAGGCAACCCAAAACACTACAAAACACAACCACTACAATACTAGAATAGGACCCTCCTCTCGCCGGCAGACAATCCACTGCAATCTATGGCTCGACACCTAGAAACGTCCGCACAAGAGAAAGAAACCCAATCTGAGAAACCGAACTAAAAAATCCAGCAAGCGGCTAATTGTAGTGGTTGTGTAGACATTTGTTATCAGGTATAATAATTTCTATTTAGATATTTTCTCATTATTTTGTGAGTTCTTTTAACGATGTGTTGACAAGTATTTTGTCAAAGGTTAGTGATACCAAATGACCCCAGTTTTAGCCCAATTTAACCAGATTGTTCAATCATACCGGCACGGACTAAGTACCACGGCATTGGGTGTCTTGAGGCCCAAAATTGGTTGGGCCTTGTCGAGAATTGAATTTTGTGTCCGAGCTCACCCACGGGTATAAATGCATCATGCTAAACGGACCAATTTCTTTGAGGTCGGCCCATCATATAAGTACTTACCAAATGCTTTCGAGGTTTCCTATAGCAAACTGTGTTATAATATTTTCTAAAAAAAATCCCATACCTTTTCACCTCAATGAAATTTTCTTCTTTTTTTTTGGTACAGGACCTTCCGGTTTTCGGATCCACAGGGGAACCGACTAATTCGGAATCGAGCCGGGTAGGACCACAAGGGCGGCAAAGCTCTCCCTCAAGAGTTTTAACACTGCTGCATTCCCAGGGCTCGAAAACGAGACCACTGGTTAAGCTGGAAGAGACCAAAGCCATCTCATCCAAGCGCTCTTGGGTAATGAAATTTTCTTCAAATGTACATTGCTGAAAATAACGAAATTTCCCCTTGTACGTTGTGTTTCACTATCTCTAATCTTTTTCTCCTTTTCTTTCAAGTAAAACAAATCACACTGTCTTTCTCTCTCTCTCTCTACCTACCTACTGAAGTGCATGACTCGAGGCGCAAACCTGATCAGCCTATACAACGCATCGGCCGTGAACTTTCTCGCGAATAGGTAGCACCGGCCTGTGACCCTCCCGTTGTACACGCACCTCCTCCCCCCTCCCCCCCTCAACCACTCGAGGAAACCCGGGTTCACACTCGTGCGGATGAACTTAGCCGGGTGGGGGCCTCCCCTCGACCAGTCGACCCACGTCAGTGTTCGGTTGGCGTTCCTCTCCGCGAACCCGCCCGAGAGCACGCCCCCAACGAGGGTGGGAAGGTAGTGCTCGTCCGCGTAGCACGACCCGTTGCAATAGCTTTTGAAGGCTGAGAAGTAGCTCGAGTCAGAGACGACCTCAAGTGCCAGGTGTCGGTCGATCGTGAACCACTGAGAGCCCTTGCGCCAGTGGGTGAGGAGGAGGGTCGGGGCCATGTTGGGGTTGTAGCGGCCGCGGCCCACTGGGCCCGGGAGGTCGTATGACTCAACATAGGTGTAGTTGGAGCCGAGGAGGTAGGAGTAGACGGTGGAGAAGTTGTAAAGTGGGATGCACGACTCCGACAAGAGGACGAACCTCTCGTTCGATACGTCGAGGAGAGCATGAGCCAACTGCCGACGCTCTGCCTCTACCATGTTCACGTTCCCCCATTTCACTTCCTGCATGCATTAATGATATACCAAAAAAATTATAACAATAGATCTTTTGTTAGGCAGCTTAATGGTTAGGTAGCCATGTTATTCTACCAAATATGCATACTTTTCATATTCAGTTGTCATGCTTCAAAATACAACATACGAATAAAAGTATTATGAAATTTCATAGTATAAGCATGTGTATTATATAACAAAGTATGATTGACTAACGAGTTATGCAGCCTAGCAGGAGGTTATGACTGAAAATTAATTCGTATAACAAAAGTATTTAGTAAAACTAGTTGATAAATTAATTTGAACAAAAATTTCAATAATTATTTTAAAGATGTCTGAGAAAACTTATGAAATAAGTTCGAGTTTTTATGAAAACATATTCTGTGTCACACAACTTATATGAAACAAGAAACTTATAAGCTAACTAAATAAATTTTATGCAGCTAGCTTATGATGCTTATAAAACAAAGTCTAACTATTAAACATACTGACCCAATACCCTTTTTTTTAATACAAAAATTCATATTTAATACTAAGGGTGTGTTTGTATATAAATTAGCTCAATACATTCTCAATTCATACTCAAAATCTAACACAACTCTGATTCAATCACATTATCTTCAATATTATCAATATAATTAAATAATATCAGTCAATCATTCATACATGTCACATCAACATTAATTCATTATTCATCCGTTCACGTAATTTTAACTAATCATCACTTCATATCATCTTTCATAATTTTACATCAACTCAACTTTAAATATTCTATTTTACATATTGTCTTAATATAAACTCAAAATCTCACTAACAATACCACTTTTAAAAAAAAAATAAAAAAATAAAAAAATAAAAAAAAAAATTAACCATGATGAACCAAAAAAACTCATTTTTGCATGCCCTAAGTGTCTTACACCTTGAAATTCAAGAAGTATGTCTCTCTCACGACCAAGTTTATTAGTCAGCATAAGTATAGACAATTTATATATATATTTTATTTTTTTTGGAAGAAATTTTTATAATTTATGTAAAGGGGGTGTTTGACATTCTTTTCTTTCGATAGGGAAAGTATGTGGTGAATCACAAATTGAAATTGGCAAGTTTTCAGATGCTGAGAATAATAATAAAGGAAGAATATTAAACCAATTTGGCAAGCAAAGGCAAAGTTCGTTGTGTCAGTGGTGCCGTGACAAGTCTTCATTCAACTTAAATTGTTTATCTATAATTATAGAAAAATGTTATTTCGCACGTCGGGCGTTTTAATCGTTGGATTGACGTGTAGTTAGATAAGATATATTTCGAACATGAAAATTCGCCCATATGGCTATAACATTTAATTGTTCATGTGCTTTTTTGGGATAGGATGTGTACACCACTACACTTTTGTTTGACTAAGGAAAAAAAGGAAAGCCTAATGGCGTGAATTAGATGAAAAAAAAAAAAAAAAAA